TCTCTTCCATGAGATGGAAACAAAAACAAAAACAGCGAGTTGAGTCCAAAAGGGGGGAAACAGTACAATTAATAGCTCAGGGTAGCGAACAAATAAAATTCAGTTGGGGGGAGGGAAGGGGAGACTAGATCTAGGTCCAGTTTAATTATAAGGCCGAAAGCCCCGTCTAAGGGCTTGTTTTGACGCCGGCCTTGCAGAGGGTAGGAGAGGAGACCCCGAAGAAGCCCCTTTGTTGCATCCCGGAGAGAGAGGGGCTTTTTGGCGAAGGCGACCCGGGATGTTTAAAATGGAGACAACGGCCTCCAAACGCAGTTGTCTTGGGGGCCTTCCATTGTGAGACGCCCCAGCTGCCCAGACCCGGTGCCTCCGCAGGTGCGACCTTCCCCTGCAGCACCGTGTAGCAGTGACAGCCTTGGCACTCACTGGCCAAGGGGGAGCGGGTGCTTCTGCTGCCTGCCAGTGTCTGGTCTGGGGCAGAACTAAAACGGGGGGCCCTGAGGAGAGGCTGGGCTTTGTGGCCTATGCATACCCCCCCTCTTGTGCCAACCCCTCTCAGGCACCCCCGTCATTTGAAGATCTGCTGGGGGAAGGCCCTGACGGATCTCTCCCTCTCCTCTCTTTTGCCATAGGTGGAAGTGCAGGACAATAGGAAGACGGCTGAAGCCTTAACTGGCTTTGGCAGGAGAAGCGCAGGGAACGCCGCCGTCTCCTGTCTCGCGTGTTAGTTCCATGAGGAAGGGGGTGGTAGGGGGAGTATGGCGCCGCCGGGCGAGCGGGCGGGGCGTGGGCGGGAGGACCGACCGCCCAGGCGAGGAGGCGCGTGTCGCCTCCCGGGCTGGGTGACACCCCAGCTGGCAGCATCTCCGCCCCCGCCGCTCGGCTGTCACCGCCCTTTGACCCCGCGCGCTGCGACGGGTGGGCGTTCTGCGGCCGCAGGGGTAAGGTACCCGAGCAGCTCGTGTCGGCTGGCCAGGGCGGGAGGGCATAGGCCTGCCAGGGCCTAGGAAGTGCCGGCAGAGAAGGAGGTCGACGCTGTCCCTGTAGAACATTGTTTAGTTCATTCATTCGTCCCACAGACTGTGGTTCAGTACCTGATAGGTTCTGACACAGCAAGTCATCCTGGCAGACTCCATCCTGGAGTAGTGGTGAGAGGTGTGAACTGTGGAGCCGGGCAGCGGGGTTTGAATGCCCCACTCCATGCTGTGTCCTTAGGCACGTCAGGTTCTCTTTGCCTCGGCTTCCTCTTCCTTAAAGCAGAGATGATAATGAAATCTGCCTCTAAGATGGTTAGAAAGGTTAAACGAGGTAATAGGTATGAAACGCTTGGAACACTTAACTGGCACAAAGTAAATGCTGTGTTTGCTGTGGTATTCCTGGTATCATCACCACCACCCAGCGCTCAGAGACTCATGTGGGAGACATACCGATAAATAAGCAATTCTGATACTGCTGTGATGGAGGAATAGCCCTCCTGGCTCTGGGAGCACAGAGTAGGCACTTGGCTCAGTCTAGGTGAATCCAAGGAGGCTTCTGTCCCCCAAAAAGCTGAGACCTACAGGATGCTTGGGGGAACCAGGCAGGAGAAGGGGAGTATTCTCAGTTGAAGGTGTACTCTGTGAGAAACCTCAAGTCTCTCTGTCTAGAGAGAGAGATGAGGTAAGGCTAAGGAGGCAGGCTGTGGTCGGGTCTTAGGGGACCCTGCAGAGCTAGTTAAGGACTTTAAATTTTAGGTTAATGGGAAAGCATTTAAGAATTAGATTTGCGGGGCTGGCTGGTTAGCTTAGTTGGTTAGAGCCTGGTTTTATAACACCAAGGTCAAGGGTTTGAATCCCTGTACCGGTCAGCCACCAAAAAAAAAAAAAAGATTTGTGGACTAGAAAGATCACTCTGGCCACGTGAAGAATGTATTCCTTGATGAGGGTGTTAGTGGCAGGCAGGAGTCAGGATTGACCTCAGGTTTTGGTTGGCAGATATTGATGCTACTCAGTGTGATAGGGAACGGGACAGGGAGCAGGTTTGAAGGAGGGAAGGGAAGTTTAGTTTTTAACATGTTGAAATTAATGCCTGTAAAACATTTAAGTGGAGCTGTCCAGTAGTTGTTATCCATCAAAGGTCACGAAAATCATGGGAGGGGATGTACTCACTTAGACTGAAGGTATAAAATGAGAAGCAAAGTGTCCAGGACATCCCAGAGGAATGCTGATGCTCGGTAATACTTGGGCACAGCCTCATTTTTGCTTGTCAACATTGTGTTACATCTTTCATTAAGCCGGAATTCCTGAGTGTAGTGACTGGAACTGAGTTTATGCATATTTGTGTCCCCGGTCCAGCACATTATCTGGCATGTAGCAAGTCAAAAATGATCCAATCTAACATTTATTGAGCACTTACTTTGTGCCAGGCTGCATGTTGAGCACTCATATTTGCTTGTGTTTGATGGGTGAATAAAAGGGCAGCTCTTAGGGAGCAAATATCCTTCAGGTTCTCATCAGATTTTCCACTTGGGTGTCTTTGATTCAGGTAATGAGCTGGAGGAGAGGAGCCAAGCTGGACTTTATGCAAACAGACTGTCAGAAAAGAGCAGCCTGGGCTATTTGGAAATCTGAGGTATGTCTGTAATACTCAAGGATGAAACAAACCAGGAGGTCAATTTGTTTGTCCTACTTCTGTAGGCTCAATGTGATTCAAATCACCCTGTCAAGATAGCTTTTTCTTTAAAATTATACAGTAATGACAAAATCTTCGTTACAGTTTGGTTGAGAAATTGTTGATATTATCATTGTTGTTTTACCAACAAAGACCAGAGTGGCTTAATTACTGGGCAGTGCTGACACCTTTTTTTAATTAGGTGTAATCTAAAATGCTCCAACAAATTGATCCCAAAATACAGTGGCTGAAACAAAATAGAAGTTTATTCCTCGCTCCTTAACAGTCCAGATCTGGTAGAGCAGCTTGCTCTGTTCTGTGAGGTTATCTGGGGACAGGGTTCCTTGGGTCATGTGGCTCACCTTGTTCAGACCTAGGCTTTCGCATCATGGTTCAAGCCAGCTTCTCCAGCTCCTGCCATCATGTATGAACTCTGTCTGGCAAAAAGGGAAAGATGAGCAGGAAACGCATGCTTATTCCTTTTAAGGTTCTGATGTTTAAAAAGACATATTTTTGTACAATGTGGTCCCCAAACATAAGTCAGCTACTACATCTGGTGTACAGTCAAAGAGTAAGTCATGACTGTTTCAGAGCTGGAGGAGAAGCTGGCTGAGAGACCCTGCTCTGTCCCCAGAGTAACTGGATTACTGACTTGGGGGCTTGGTCCCAGCCTGAGGGGAAGTCCACTGAACTGGTGAAAGAGGGCTGGACATGCTCCCCGACCTCTGTCTCCCCAAGGCAGGCTGCTGTGGCTTTGGGTAGGTTTATGGTGTTTGAGCCCAGAGAATCCAGGCTCATTCAGGATTTCAGTGTTCCCTGTGCCCAGTGCACTTTGGACACTGTGTTGGGTGCTAGTGATGTGGGCACAAGGAAGACTAGACCCCTGGGCAAGGCATTTCTGGCCATGTGACAATTACAAAGCAATGCAAGAAATACCACAGAGGTCTGGCCAATAATTAGTGGGCACATAGAAGGAGGATCGACTGGCATTGGAAGGCTTTACTGTGGTGGCAAAGATTTAGAGTGACGATGCATTTTGGATTGATAACTGTAAGGTTTCCCTTAGATAGACAGAGGCAGTGAGGACTCTGGTGTCATGTGTGCATCCTTGCTCCCCTGTTTAGTGGTTCTGTGTCCTGAACTACTTCATCGCTGAGCCTCAGTTTCCTCATCTGTGAAATAAGGATAACAACATCTACCTCACAGAATTGTTTTGAGAATTACGTGAGTTTCGGTGGATAATTCACAAGGTCTGCTATGTAACAGGCACTTATTAAATGTTAGCCACCTCCTACAGCAAGGTGCAGGGTGGTTCAAAGCCAGGGAGGCCAGTTAGGATTTCAGTTAAAGAAAGCCTGAACCTAAGGGGAAACCATGTTGCCATCATTTCTGAGGCGAGGATTATCCAGGAGGGTCTAGTGCTGCTCTGTGCTTTCCCTGCTTTCTTCAGGAGTTTCCCCAATTAATTAAAGTCATCAATCTCTAGATTCTCAGAGACCATACCCTGAGAGTTCTGGTAAGGGGTCTTTTTGGAACAAGAGGATTCTCTCTGCTTGTTTTATTCTTTCAAGTTCACATGCTTCTGGGAAGCCTTTTCTGAGCCCTACCCAGCCCCACACCCCAGCTCAGTATAGAGCCCCTCCTCTGTGACTTCTTAGCATCCTGTGCTAATCTCTGCTAATGCGTTCTCACCTCAATTATAATCAGGATTCTCTCTGCTTGTTTTATTCTTTCAAGTTCACATGCTTCTGGGAAGCCTTTTCTGAGCACTACCCAGCCCCACACCCCAGCTCAGTATAGAGCCCCTCCTCTGTGACTTCTTAGCATCCTGTGCTAATCTCTGCTAATGCATTCTCACCTCAATTATAATCGTAGGTTTCCTTGTCTGTCTCCCTGTTAGACTACTAGCATCTTAGACTCAGGGACAGGGTTTTATTCATCCTAGTATTCCTACTGTGTAGCTCATTTCCTGGCACATAGCTGGTGCTCAGTAAATGTTGTGGGATGGGCAGAGGATCAGCTTTGATTGGCTGAAGAGGAACTGGCAGTTGGGGCTGGAAAGAACTCCAATGTGATAAGGGGTTGGGTGTGCTGTTGGTTGAAGAGAAAGAGAACCCGGTGGTTTATTGGGTATTTAACTGTAATACAGGAAGTAGACATTGTGAACTGTGACCTGAACTATGCGAGTTTCTTTCAGAAAACGGTTTCTCAGTCTTTTTGTCTTTTTCCAGTACAGCAGAGTTTCTCAGCCCTGACATTATTGACATTTGGGGCTGGGTAGGTGTTTGTTGCCGGGAGTTAGCCTGTAGCATCCCTAGCCTCTACCCGTAGATGCTAGTAGTAACAGTCCCACTGTCCAGCTGTGACAGCCCAAAATGTCTACAGACACTGACAGATGTTTGCTGGGGCAAAATTGCCCTCCGTTAAGAACCACTGTGGTATAGGGTAGTGGTTAGAGCATGAACTTCTAAGCCAGACACCTGGGCTTATATCTGGTTCTTGTACTTACTAGCTGTATGCCTCTGGACAAAGTATTTGACCTCTCTAAGCCTCAGTTTCCTCAGCTATAAAATGAGGGGTTACCTGGCACATAAGTTTATGGGTGGAATTATTAATGAGGTAATATATGTAACATGCTTTGTCGAGTCCCTGACTCCATAATCGATAATTAGTGTTATTATGTGTTACTTATGAGAAAGGACCCTTGAGAGGGGCAAGAAAGAAAATATGAAGAGTTGAGGAAGAAAACAGTGTTTGGTGTAAGAATACATGCACAGGATAGAAAAATCAGAAGGTTCTTAAGGGTGTGCTGTGGAAAGTAAGTAATCCTCTCCTCCTCCCCAGATAAGTGTTAATAGTATGTGTGTGCCCTTCCAGAGCCATTCTGTACATATGTATGTACGTATGTATGTATGTATATATAGGGAAGACCTTTTTTTTTTTTTGGTGGGGGAGGAGAGGGGCTGGCCAGTGTCGGGATCCGAACCCATGACCTTGGTGTTATAAGGCTGCACTGTAAGGAAAGACCGTTTTTTAAGAGAGTCAAATGGCTTGAGTGTGTTGCATAGGCCTGTCTGGTGGTTGGCCCTAAACGGGGCATTCCCATTCAGGATACTGAAAGGGCAGCCTCTGTGGGTGGAGCTTCAGAGTTTTAACAGTTTGCCAGGTGGCCCATTTTCTTTTTTTTCTTTTTTTTAAAAGATGACTGATAAGGGGATCTTAACCCTTGACTTGGTGTTGTCAGCACCACACTCTCCCGAGTGAACCACGGGCCGGCCCAGGTGGCCCATTTTCTACAGTTCTGGAATTCCCTGAGGGATGGTGCCTGTGTAGGTGGCAGAGAGATACACAGACGTGGTGTCTGGCAGAGTGACACATTGTTGAGTATTGGACATCACAACAGGGAGGGACCCCAACCTTAGAGAAAACAGCAAACTCCACATACATTTTGTGTACAAAACATATTGTCCTGGAGATCATAATCTGCTTCTTTTGCTAGCCACAACTTTTTTTTTTAAAAGATGACAGTAAGGGGATCTTAACCCTTGATTTGGTGTTGTCAGCACCACGCTCTCCCGAGTGAGCTAACCGGCCCTCCCTATATAAAGATCCAAACCCGTGGCCTTGTTGTTATCAGCACCACACTCTCCTAAGTAAGCCACAGGCCGGTCGCTAGCCACAATTTTTAAATGATTGAAATAATAGATGTCAAAGAGTAAGGCTTTTGGCGCAAAGTGATTTCACCATTTGTTGCAAGCCTGTATGTTGAGTGTCAGGGCAAATTAGGGTTGACCTCAATAACGCAATCAGCACAGATATGTGTAGAAAACCAGGGCTTGGGCTCTTGGATTCAAACCTGCTTGTTATACATTGGAGAGAAATGGTTCTTTAGGGCTTCGGCTTAAAAGGAAGGAAGGAAATAAAGGGCATCGTTAGAATTGAGAGTTGTTCACTCATGTCTAAACAGCAGCTTGGACAGGGGCTCAGAAGTGGGAATTCCAGCTGAGTGGGAGCAGGCCAGAAAGCAGGCATGGTAGATTCATCGTAACATCAAAAACATGCTGGGCTTCTGGTCTTAAAAGGTCTGGCGGTAGAATCTGTTCTGTTCTCCCACCTTACCTGTACCAATTCCTTTACCGGAACTATTAATCTAAGCAGTCATTTTCCTGTCCCAAATGGAAGACTCTACTCTAATTTCCCCATCCTGCCTAGTGGGAAGCCATAGCCCAGACTTCTCATTTCAGTAGTCTTAGGGCCCAGTGGGTCCCTGTCAGGGACTTTCCTGGGTTACTGTAACTCAGTCAGCTGCCCAACTTAATTCTTCAAAACTTTGTTTAAAGTCATTTGGTAAATTGTTTTTGTTAAATATTGAGTAGATACAAAATGATATGTTCAGTGTAAAGAATAAGGATAGAAGGAACACCTATGTACTCATCACCTAGTTTATTATTATTATTATTATTTATTTTATTTTTTTTTTAAAGATGACCAGTAAGGGGATCTTAACCCTTGACCTGGTGTCAGCACCACGCTCACCCAGTGAGCTAACCGGCCATCCCTATATGGGATCCAAACCCGTGGCCTTGGTGTTATCAGCACCACACTCTCCCGAGTGAGCCACAGGCCGGCCCTTATTATTATTATTATTATTTTCTGGAGGCTGGCTGGTATGGGAATCTGAACCCTTGACCTTGGTGTTATCAGCACCATGCTCTACCAAGTAAGCTAACCAGCCAGCCCTCCCAGCACCCAGTTCATTTCTTTGATTCATGTTATTATTACCTTTGGAGTCCCTGTGTGCCCCTCTCCGATTCTGTCCCACCTCCCCACCCTCCAGGCCATCTCCGAATTTTGCTTTTATCATTTTCTTGCTTTTCTTTATAGTTTTACCACATATGTCTGTTTTACTAAACAATGTATTATTTAATTTTGCTCATTTTTAAAACTTAGTATAAATAAAA